TTTCCATCCGCAAACCTTTGTTTTCATACCAGAAGCGAAAACCATGAAGAATATTAGTACTATCTCTCTCCACAAAACTCATCATAAATACATAGATCAAAGTCAGTGGTGACGTCAAACTCAAACTCACCATTTATCTCATCTTCTCTTTACAACCAGGAAAAATTATGAATCTTAGATTGCAGAAATAAAACAAAAAGGTACTTGAGTTATCTCATCTTCTCATGGATTAAAATATTACCCAACAACAACAACACGATCATCAAAGGTCATTCGAAGATGTTCATTGCAAATAAACATTTCATAAAACTGTGTGTGAGTGGATACCAAGCACTATGAAGAGAAAGGGGTTTAGACCGAACCAAAAAATGGTAAAATAATCAAACTTTTTAATGTAAAATGTGAGATAAAACCTCAAAAGTGTGGGATGATGGCGGATTACATAGAGGAAAGTGGTCGGGGCGGTAGGCTAAATCCCGACGGTGGTGGCTGTTCGGAGCAAAAGCTTTGTTTTTTTTTTTTTTTTTTTTTTTCCTATTTTCGGCTATCGGTTCTTGCTTCTTGAACTAAAAGTAGGAGGAGATTAATGATCTTTGGTGCTAGGGTTTCTTCTAAAATGGACAAGGAGAAACGAATTCAAAATTTAAGAGTAAGTTGAAGAGTGAAGATAAATTGGCCGGATTTAAAGGAGCTAAATTGAGGAACAAAATTAATATCGTGCAAGTTTTCAAGGTGAAAGAGCTATTTTTGATTGATGCACGATTCTTTAAGTAAATTGACGATTTTACCCTTCATTTATATTTAGGATGAAATGAATATTATTCCAAAACTGCTTCTTTCCGTATCTCGTATCTCGTATCTCAAAGACTGCTTCGTCCTTATCTCATCCCATCCAAATGGAAAATCATCGGGAAATCTCCTCTCTCAATAATCAGTCTGGGGTTTAAAGAAGAAGGATCACCCCATCGCTTCACGAGGCTGTGACAATCGCTGTTCACAACCTGTTGTTTGTGCTTGCAGATGCCGCCCGTCGGCAATTTTAGTACCGACTATTACAGCTGTTTGATTTATTCGTCGTCTCCGTTCCAAGTCTTTCATCCCCACTGTTTGCCATTCCTTTGAAAACACAGATTACGCTTTCCCAATTTCCCACTCTACCGAGAACTCTCTATTGTGCATCTTCATTTTCATTTATTTCAAAGGTGAGAACCAGATAAAAGAGTTTCTCTGGTGCCCAATTCCGTTTTAATTTTCCATCTCCAAAATGTAGAGCGAGATACACTTTGGTCGTCAAAT